TTGTATGAAGACGAGTTAGTCACTTTGTGAAAGTCTATAAAATATTGTAAATTCATTTCAATTTTTCAATAAAGACACGCCATTGTGGCATGATTGCGGGTTAAAAAAAAAAAAATCAAATTATTCATAGAATTTCATATTATTCTTATGGTCAAACTTAGAGACTTCAACCTGACATGGATTATAGATTTTATTTGTTGTAAATGATCTGCATTTCTAGTAGTTATTATTCCAGTTTTTTTTTTACGCTCAAAAAAAATGCAAAAATGTCCTTTCAGCACCGAAAGAAATCGCGTCGGTCAAATAAAGATCGTATAGTTAAACGTGACCTAAGTCGAAATGAATTAAACGAATTGGAAACAAGATGCAAAAATCTCGTAATTTTTTCTATACATTGCTTCAGTTACATATTCGAATAAATCCTCGAACTAAGCTGATTTCCGAATTGCATTAGGTATTCGATCCAAATATTGAAAGGTTTAGTGAATTGCCTTTATCAACATTGACACTTGAAGGTCTTCAGAAGTCAAATTACATCGAAATGACAGAAATCCAAAGTAAGGCATTGCCTTTGGCCTTGAGTGGCAGAGACGTTTTAGGAGCCGCTAAAACCGGTAGTGGAAAGACGTTAGCTTTCTTAATTCCAGTAAAGTGAATGGTTTTTCATTTCGGGATTTATTAAGTTAGATTAAAGAAAATGATTGAGAAAATCAATTTCTGTAGTTGATCGAAACCCTGTACAGAAAAGAGTGGACTCAAATGGACGGATTGGGTGCTCTTGTTATCGCACCGACACGCGAATTAGTATATATCATTTATTTGGATTACGCAAATTTTATCGCAAAGTACAGAAACATAAGGTCGTTTAACATTCTTAGGCTGTTCAGATATTTGAAGTTCTTCGAAAGATAGGACGACGACATTCTTTATCGGCTGGGCTTGTTATTGGTGGAAAAGATTTACATGTGGAGCAAGAACGCATTAACCGAATGAACATCCTTATATGTACGCCCGGGCGCTTGTTACAGCATATGGATCAAACAGCAAGTTTCAATTGTGATAATCTGCAGGTTTTAGGTTGGTAATATCTATTAAACTTATTAAGATTTTAATTTATTCTGATATTAACTAGCTAAAGTTTTGATTCACTAAATTAGTTTTGGATGAAGCAGATAGAATTCTTGATATGGGTTTTGAGAAAACAGTTAATGCAATAATAGCCAATCTTCCAAAGGAACGTCAGACTCTCTTATTTTCCGCCACACAAACGAAATCCGTTAGAGATCTAGCAAGACTTAGTCTGCAAGTATGTTGCCTAATCTTATTATTCAAAATTTTATCTAATAAGATTTAATTTTCAGGACCCTGAATATGTCGCCGTGCACGAAGAATCCGAGCATAGTACACCATCTAGTTTATCACAGCATTATTTGGTATGCGAACTACCGGAAAAATTAGACATATTGTTCTCATTCATAAAATCACATCTGAAAGTCAAAGGCCTGGTGTTCTTGTCAAGTTGCAACCAGGTACTATAGTATTATCTAAAGCGAGTATTTTGGCATTAATTTCCTAACTTAGATTTTTGAAAATTTAAAGGTTCGATTTGCCTTTGAAACTTTTTGTAAAATGCAGCCAGGGGTTGTATTAATGTGTTTGCATGGGAAACAAAAGCAAACCAAGCGCGTGGAAATTTTTAATAAGTTTTCTGCTATTAGACACGCGTACTTGTTCGCTACAGACATAGCAGCTAGAGGACTTGATTTTCCAGCAGTGGATTGGGTAATACAAGTTGATGCTCCGGAAGATTCGGATACGTATATCCATCGTGTGGGACGTACAGCTAGATATGAAGCTTCTGGACACGCGTTGCTGTTTTTGTTACCAAGCGAAGAGAAAGGAATGAAAGAAATATTGAAAAAAAAGAAAGTTCCGATTGACAAAATTAAGGTAAAAGCCAGTAAGACAATGAACATACAGCAACAGTTACAGTCACTATGTTTTAAGGATCCCGAAATCAAATATCTTGGCCAAAAGGTGTGTCGTAATATCATGTAATAATTGCTTTAACATTTAAATATCTAATACTTTTTGCTCCTAAAACCAGGCTTTTATATCATACATGAGATCTGTTTACCTTCAAAGTAACAAATCCATATTCAAAGTTGACGAATTACCAGTAGATGAGTTTTCGGCTTCTCTTGGATTACCCGGAACACCGAAAGTTAAATTTGTAAAGGTCTGTTGATATTGTTATATAGGAGTTTTCATTACATTTCTTTCTGACAATGTTATACTTCCGATTATTAGAAATCACAAGCGAAAAATGCAGCATACAAAGGACATTTACAAAATGAGGTTGGATTTTCGTTAGATTTTAAGGACGGCTTAGGAGATGAAGAATCGAAAGATTCTAAATCTAAAACTAGATTAGAAAAGATTTTTTGTCGTAAAAATATGTCCGTGCTCGCAGATCATTATAAAAAGCTTGTGGATCACGGTGATAATGCTTTCAATGATGAAGATGATGAACTTATAACTCTTAAACGTGTTGACCATGATTTACCTGAAGAATTAGAACATGAGGTAAAAAAAATTTTTTTACTTAATCATTTTTGACTGCTTCGTCTCTAATTTCATCCATAATCAGAATCATGAGGATTTGTCGAAGCGGAAACTGTTGAAAGCCAAGTCAAAAAAACATGCCATAAAGGATGCACCCAGAGGTAGTAAACTTATATTTGATGAAGAGGGAAATGTAAGTCGACTAATTCTTTGTTGAATTCATTATTTAAAGTTTTATCCAAAATACATTACCTTAATATTATGATAAACACATAAACACTTAGCCTCATCAGATATATGAATTCCAAGATGAAAAAACATTCCATGCAGCGGGAAATGCATTGGATCAAAAGAAAACATTCTTAGACAAAGAATTAAGGATAATGAAGGAGGAAGACGTCATAGATAAAGCAACTGCTAAAGAAAAACTTCGCGAAAAGAGATTAAAAATGAAGGCCAGATTAAAATCCGAATTAGAAGACACAGGTCCAACGGCTAGATTAGCTTCACCTATCAGTGGAGACGACGAATTGAACCAAAGTGATGCTGAAGAATCGGAGGGATATAATAATTTTGATGATGATAATTCTGAACTTGAATTGAATAGCAAAAGACGCGCATCGCCTTTGATATTCGAACAAAATGAATCTGATGAGGATAACGTGTCTGTAAGGAAAAAACGTAAAGTATTGGAAGTCGATGAACCTCTGACATTGGAAGATCAGGAAGAATTAGCGCTTCAATTATTAAATAAGTGATATATATTTGGCTCAAAAATTGGACCATGCTGTATTGTGGTCTATAACACTATTACAACCCTTGTTCAAAATATAAATGCAGGAACAGATAATAAAATGACAATTGAATATTAAAAATACACTGTATGTATATGCTAAATAAACAAAGTTTGCTTTAGAAGTGGTTTTCAAATTATTTTGTATATTGAATGAGCCAATTAATTTTTTTTTTTGTTTTATTTGACTTTAAAATGATAACGGATAAAATAAAATTTGTTATTAGAGTACAAAAAAACCTTAAATTTTTTTATTTAACTTAGAAAACAATTTGATTATTACTTTTTATAAAGTGGAGTTGCCTAGGAAGAAACCGCGATTAAAAGCAATAGATTTAATTGTAATTGTTTCCGGAAATTACCTTTTTTTTTATAGATTTTCTAATCACTTCTTTTCAAAAAAGTATTTTTTTCAAAATTCTTTTAACATAATAAATTTCAAAATATTGTTTCAATTAAAAGAATCTTGTTTATTTTTAATTTTATTATTTATTTTCTTTAAATAGAAAAAATCAATATACATATATAATATATAAAATAAGATACAGTATTTGCTTTTTTAAAAAATCCGAGTTTAAATTTTTTTGCTAATTCTCTGATATCACACAAAAAAGATGTTTGCAAGAAGTTTTTATACTTCTTGATCAATAAAGTCTTCACACTTTTCTTAAAACAACTTGAAGCTTGTCTTCAAGAATCAATACTATTATTTTTTACTTGTTTATAAGCTTCTTTGAACAAAAACTTGGAACTCTGATAGCCTAAAAAACTCAAGTATATATTTTCTTTATTAAAGACAAAAAGGTTTAAGAAATAAAAGAACTATTTGATTGAGTATCACTTTTTAAAGCTGAAAGTGACATGGAAATAGAGGTTTTATTGATAAAGAAGACTTATATTTTATATTTTTATATACTGTTTATTGTATTCTTAAAGTGTTTACTATTTTTTCATAGTTTTTTTGAGGAATTTTATTTACTTTAACTTGATCCTAAATTTTTAGTAATATAATATTACCTGGTATTTGATTGACTAGCAGAAAACATATTGGTAGCAAAATATAAACAAGCTCTCATTGATTATATCTATATATTCTAATAATATTATCAGTGATAAGAAAAGTTGATTGGTGTTTTGTTTTTATACACTCCTTTAATTGGGTTAGCCTATAAATCAAGTTCTATAAAATCAATAAGATATAAGTAACAAGCTTTCAAATAATAAAAAAATTATTATTTATTCCAGTTGAGATATTTCTATTTATTATTTTAATCAAAGCTCCCCAAGGTCTAAACAATCTAATGTACATACCCCATCTCCACACACACCAAAACACATTATCAGAGTAGCACAAACACGTACATATATATAAAGTTGTTGTCAAAACAAGTTCGACAAAAGTCTAACACAATAGCACAACAAGTGTGACTTAAATTGGTAAGATTATCAAATACAATTATTACAATAGAAAGTAATCAACGTAAATAAAGTGTCAGGGGTCTGTAAAAAACACAATAAAGTTAGTGTAAACAGGTAAACAACCTAAGCAAAAAAGGAGAAACGACACATGCCTAATCAAAACAAGATTAAGACACATACAAAAAACAAGATTATAGTCAAAAACAACAATTATTACATATAAAACCTTATCAACAATTACTAAAATAGCACTAAGGATATATATTAATCTGCTCACATGACTATTCATAATATAACATAACAATATAACAATAATATCAATCTATATATATACCCTATCATGAATAAAGCAAAGTAGATACTAAAAAAAAAAAAGACCTTTTCCGCTGATCCTAAATTTCCTTAAAAAAAATTTCCTTTTTCGGTAATTTTCTTGGAAAACTCAGAAGCCAGCCTC